GGGTTTCAACATTGCGACTGTTTCGAAGTTATGGTAGTTTAGTACATGCGTCAAGCTATTTGAATGCCAATCGCGACATCTGCCAATGGTACTGAACGGAGGGAATATCAAATTGAAATTTGTCCGGATTTTGGCGACGCACCCTGTATATTCGGTCATGAGAGCCGTTTGCTAGGTGTTGTGCGGAAATTATTATGTGTATATATATACATATATACGTGTAAAAATTTACACGTGAACACATTTCAACATTTTGTTATATTCTGTTATATGTACTATTGTTAATATAAAGAAATATATTGTGTTGTATTAAAAGAAATGTTTGTCAAAAACATATTCTACAAAAATGTATGATATCTTGAAAAAATTATCTTTTCAAAAAAAGGTTAAAAAAGGCGCTAAGTATACGCGCACCTCGTATCTCTAGAAAAAGTATCACTATATTATACTACACGAAAACTCTTTTTCTACAGAATCTATTCTACAAAAGAAATGATATCAGAAAGTAGCGCCAAGTAAAACTTAGACGTTTTTTTAATATTACTATAACAATCTTTTCCTACAAAATCTATTCTACAAAAGAAATGACCAGAGTATTTTTTATATAAAGCACTCATTGATATAAGAAATGACCTCACCTTGCGTGGAAAATCTTAAATTATGTCAAATCATACATGTAGATTTCACTTTGTGTGAAAAATCAAAAACCCATGTAGAATTTTTTAAAATAAAAAATATTTAATACAAAAAAACTTGGCGCAACTGCACCAAAAACTAACAATAAGTGCTTTCCAGCTATTTACACAGGCGATACTGTGATCATTAGTGTGAATGAGACACACTAATATGTTCTTTTTCACTAATGAACACTGTGTTACACATTGTCACGTAGGTACATAACTTGAAAACACCTTTAAATTAACGAGGTGCAGCCGCGCCAAGTTTTTTTGTATTAAATATTTTTTATTTTAAAAAATTCTACATGGGTTTTTGATTTTTCACACAAAGTGAAATCTACATGTATGATTTGACATAATTTAAGATTTTCCACGCAAGGTGAGGTCATTTCTTATATCAATGAGTGCTTTATATAAAAAGTACTCTGGTCATTTCTTTTGTAGAATAGATTTTGTAGGAAAAGATTGTTATAGTAATATTAAAAAAACGTCTAAGTTTTACTTGGCGCTACTTTCTGATATCATTTCTTTTGTAGAATAGATTTTGTAGAAAAAGAGTTTTCGTGTAGTACAATAATATAGTAATACTTTTTCTAGAGATACGAGGTGCGCGTGTACTTAACGCCTATTTTAACTTTTTTTTTTGGAAAGGTAATTTTTTCGGGTTTTATATATAGCTGAGTTTTTATTCAAACGCCGTTATGTACACAAAGAACGTATAGACAAATTTTTTACAATAATGTCGAAAATATATTTATTAAATGATATTGCGAACTAATGAATAATATTTATAATATACTAGAATACCAACAGACATGACATTTGTAAAATAGTGCAAATAATAAAGAAGAAAAATGATACAAAATGGTGACGGAAAATAAGAGTTTATTGATGCAATTTCTTTTGTTTCTAACTTTTGAATAAACAACGAGCGACGGCTAAAACTTTTTGATTACTGTTTAGGAAGATGTTCTTGACAACATATGTCAAAATCATTGACCTCCGAGGGTACTCTGTATTTAAATATTTACCTTAATAAAATTTCGCGGGGGATTGCCTTGGTTTAGGAAATATTTAGGAAATAGAAAAACCATTTAAAGTTTTGGAACAATGCTAATACCGGCAATACTCTAATATTCAACTCTTATAAGTTAAAAAGTACTTAATGAAACTAAACTTTATTATAATGTTTTGGAAAGCTCTTGAGTTAGGCTATAAGAATCTGCAATAAAAAATAAGGAGTTCCATTTAAAAAAATCAATGTGACTTTGACCTGACGGGCTTTGGCGGCGCAATCCAAGGTCACAGTAATACAATCAATAAATAGATCTTTTTAAACTATATTACTTTTGTCTGAAACACTTTTCTGTAAAACTTATATGTTCTGAGATATTCAGGTGTTCCGGTATTTTTTTTCACCCTGTATATGAGAGACACCGTATACTTCCTTAACTACTTTTAAAATATTAGGAAAAAAACTCCTCGGCCAGGAGTCGAACCTGGACTCTACGGCTTTTCGTCGCCTTTTCTATTTGGTCACCGAGGCACTAGTTTTTTTTGCAATATTTTAAAATTAGTTAGGAGCGTATACGGGGTTTCTCATACATGTGATGCAAATATAGCATCCTATATGAATTTAAAAATTGAAATTTCACAATAAAAAAGAATAAAATAAAACTCGCTCGTGTTGTAAAAACAATGTAAAAATTATTATCAAATAAGGTCAATATCAAGCTAAAAAGTTAGGTGTAATATACTTATTTACTAGATCTTCAAAAGTTACAAAAATACGGCGCGAAACGTTTCGACATGCACAGATGTCATCTTCAGTCGCAATATATAAATTATTAAATACAATTAGATTGTGGCTGTCACACACACACACATAGTCGTATGCAGGTTGATGGACATACCTTGTAATGGAAAGTTTGTGTCACAATATAAATTTACACGAAAAGAAACCAATATACATAAATATAAATTTATTCCGCGTAAGGCATCCAGCGTAAGGCTTCTACGACTATTTAAATTTTGTGTTTAGTTTTGATAACTTTATTTTAATAAAACAACACCGAAAACTTTTGCATCTTTAATATAAAAAAAACCTAGAAAACCAATAGTGCATTATTATTTGCAACAAAATGTCACTTTCAGTCTTGTTTTTTTGCGGAATTCTTCTTGTAAACAATTAAATAAATAACTAAAAACTTGTTTTGATATTAGAATTATTTGCCATGCTTTTGCGGCTTGTCATCGTTAGCTATTGATTTTTATATAAGATGTATGTTATAGGTGTGTTGTTATATTAACTTTTCTCATTGCGTTGTGCATAGCAATCGTGAGCGCGCAAAACGCTGGACTGTTTTGCAAGAATGCACGCAGATATTTAATAATTAATATCTCATTAATTATTGCAAATTCTGCAAAGTGATAAAGAGTTTTTGACTCGATATAACTTCTCCTATTTGCTTACAAACGGTTATTGTCTTTTGTGCGTGCGTGCGTGCGTGCGTGCGTGCGTGCGTGCGTGCGTGCGTGCGTGCGTGCGTG